GAGGTATTGCCTCCTCTTTGATTTTTTGAAAGAGTTTGAAGAGAATAGGTATTAAATCTTCTTTGAATGTTTGGTAGAATTCACTGTTGAAGCCCTCTGGTCCTGGACTTTTACTTTTTGGTAGGTTTTTGATGATTGTTCCAATTTCCATACTGCTGATCTGTCTATTTAGATTTTCCAGTTCTCGATTCAGTCTAGAGAGGTTGTACTTTTCTAAGTACTGCTCCATTTCTTCTAAGTTATTAAATTTGATATTATATAAATTTTTCATAGTATTCTTGCATGATCCTTTGTATTTCCGTGGTGTCTGTCATAATTTCCCCTCTTTCGTCCCTGATTTTGTGTCCTTTTTCTTTTTTCTTTAGTGAGTCTAGCCAGGGGTTTGTCAATTTTATTATCCTTCTCAAAGAACCAGCTCTTTCTTGCATTTATTTTTTTCTTTTTGTTTGTTTGTTTTCAATTTCATTTATTTCTGCTCTAATTTTGTCAATTTCTTTCCTTCTGCTGACTTTAGGTTTCATTTGTTCTTCCTTTTCTAGTTTTTTAAGATGAAGTGTTAGGTTGTTTATTTGGGCTCATTCTTGTTTTCAGAGATAGGCCTGTAATGATATGAACGTTCTTCTTTACGACTGCTTTTGCCGTTTCTCAAAAGTTTTGATATGTTGTCCTATTATTATCATTTCTTTTTATGTATCTCTTGATTTCTCTTTTTATATCTTCTCTGACACAGTTATTCTTCAACAGCATGTTGTTTAATCTCTATGTATTTGTAGTTCTTCCTAATTTCTTTCTGCAGTTGATCTGTAGTTTCAAAGCATTATGATCAGAGAATATGGTTGGTATGATTTCAACCCTCTTATGTTTCTTAAGGCTATTATGTGGTTGATTCTTGAGAATGTTTTATATGCACTAGAGAAGACTATGTAAGCAGCTGTTTGAGATGGAAGGCTCTGTAAATGTCAGTTATGTCCAGTTGGTGTAATGTGTCATTTAGAGATGTTATTTCCTTATTGATAATCTGTTTGGATGATCTGTCCATATCTGACAATGAGGTATTTAGGTCCCCTACTACGATAGTGTTTTAGTCTGTTTCTCCCTTTAGTTATGTTAGTAATTGCTTTACACATTTTGGGGATCCCTGATTGGGAGCATAGATATTAATAAGTGTTGTATCTCCTTGGTGCATGATTCCCTTTATCATTATGAAGTGTCCCTCAGTATCTTTCTTTAATTTTTTTTATTTTGAAGTCTATCTCATTTGATATTAGTACTGCTGCTCCTGCTTTTTTCTGAATGCCATTTGCTTGAAATATCATTTTCCACCCATTCACTTTGAGTCTATAATTGTGTTTGGAACTGAGATGTGTGTCCTGGAGGCAGCATATGGTTGGGTTTGGTTTTTTGATCCTTTCTGCAACTCTATGCCTTTTTATTGGTGAGTTCAGTCCATTTACATTTAGGGTGATTATTGAAATATGAGGTCTTCTTGAAGCCATTTTATCTTTTGCTTTCTGGTATTCAATGTTTCCATTGCTTCCTTGTTCTTGTGTTTCGGTTTTCTTTATTTTGGTTGGGTTTTGTGGGTTTTGCCTCTGGTTCTTCTTGTTTTATGTTATATACAATGGTTCTGAATCTTTGGTGTTTGGTTACCATTACGAGTATAAAAAGGATAGTTGTATATATACAGTCATCCATTTTCTCCTGTGCATGCCTTATCTCCATTCCCTTTGCGAATTTAGATCTTTGAATCCTCCCCTTTTCAGTCATTGTTATCTCGATTTGTTCGTATGTATGCTGTATGTTTATTACTATCTTTTTATAACAATTCTCTTCTTTTTATTTAAGCTTATAATGCCCTATTCTTAGTAAGGGTTTCACTCCTCTGCTTCTATTTGCTTGATAGTCACTTTCCTCCTACTTATGTATTTTTTTGTCATTTTATTTAGGTGAACTGACTCCTTTTGGTATTTCCTGCAGTGCAGGCTTCGTAGTGGAGAATTCTCTCAATTTTTGTATGTCTGGAAAGTCTTAATTTTTCCTTCATATTTAAAGGAGAGCTTAGCTGGATACATTATTCTAGGCTGGTAGTTCCTTTCATTTAATAGTTTAAATATTTGATTCCATCCTTTTCTGGCTTGTAATGTTTGCGCTGAGAAGTCCGACGATAATCTAATGGGTTTAACTTTATAAGTTACTGTTTCTTTCTCCCCGGCTGCCCTGAGAGTTCTGTCTTTGTCATTGATTTTTGATAATTTTAATGCAGTGTGTCTTGGTGAAGGCCTTTTTGGCTGAGATTATTGGGTGTTCTGTTGACTTCTTGAATTCCAAGCTCTAGCTCAGTCCTTAGATTTGGGAAATTCTCATCAATTATTTGTCTGAAAATGCTTTCTAGTCCCTGCTTCTTTTCTTCGCCTTCGAGAATGATATCAGCTAGTTCTTCAATTTCTCTTTCATTATATTTCATTTTTTGGTCTCTTCTTCCTTTTGATTTATTTCTAGATTTCTGTCTTCGATATCACTGATCCTTTCCTCCATTTGGTCGACTCTATTTCCAAAGCTTGCTATTTCATTTTTCAACTCTTGCACTGTGTTCTTCATTTTCAGAAGTTTTCTTTGGTTCCTTTTGAGGATTTCAATCTCCTTGCTCTGCTAATCGAGTTGTTTTTTTCAATTCTTGAAATTGTTGATATGACTTATTTTGGAACTCACTGAGTCTTTTCAGAAGTACCATCCTGAATTCTCTGTTCTTTAAATTGCATATTTCTATTGTCTGCAAGCTTATTTTCTGGAGATTTTTCTCTTTCTTTCTGAGATGTCTTGTTGCCTTGGTTGTACATGGTGTTTAATGGACTGTTTCTCCACCTGGGCATTAATGGAAGTGTATTCTGCTGTTTTTCCAGAAAGAAGACTTAATATATAAAGGCCTCTCTTTAGCCTTTTGCACAGAAGGCGCTTTTCTTTTGGTTTCCAATAGGTGGCGTCTAAGCCTCTTGGATCCCTGCTTTACATAAAGTCTTAATAATGCTTTGTAAATTTTCTTGTAGATATTTAATCACGCTCGCTACCCTCAGTTTCAGTCCCTGTCAGTGTCAGCGACAGTCTCGGCATCATTTGCTCAGATTCCCCTGGGATTCCGCGGTGATTGGTCTCAGAAAGTATGGGGGGAGGGACCCTCTGGGTTGGGAGTTGGGGGCTGCTGCTCAACCTCGGTTTTGCAGCTGCAGTGGGCAAAAATCAGCTGCTGTTCCTCTGCAGTCCCGTCCTGCGTCTCTGCTTTCTGCCCTGATAACTGGGCCCTACAGCCAGCCTGCCGCGGGGAGCTCACAGCTACCCAGGCAGGAATGTTGAGGGAACTAGCCACATGAACTTGCTGCTCATTCTCCCCTCCCCCTCCTCCTGCAGGGAGTTCTGGTAGCTATGAGAGGCAGCTTCTTTATTACTCTCAGTCCACCACCTGACACCCAAGGTTCTGACCTGTGGTAGCTCCTATGCGCAGATCCCATGCTCAGACATGCTTGTGTGCAGTTTGGGTGGTTTTTTGTTGAGTTTTAGATGTTCAGCTTATTGTTGCTTCTTTTCGAACTGCCAATTCTATGGAAGATAGCAATGTAACTTCTATGACTTTTTGTTAAACATTTTTAAAAATTGTTTTGACATTTTGAGACAAATCTTTGATCAGAGCTATGGTGCTGCCACTAATGGCATAGAACCTGCTCTATATCGTCTGATATTGTTGGTGATAAATTTACATTGAAAAAGAAACTTTCAGCCTGAAGGTTCCCAAAGGCCTCGATGAATACACACAATTCAATTTTGACACATTCAGTGCTGGGATAGAGGACACAGCTGGCCTTGATCACTCTCTGTGGACAGAAAGAACAAACGTCTTGTACTAAAACTGGCTCTATCCTTAAGCTCACAAATGAGAATCCTGACAGAGAGCAGCCCTATATGCTCAGGTTGACTTGTGATATACTCATTATGAAATGTATTCCATAGTCTAAACTATGGTAAATTGTACAGATAAAAGTTTGGTTCAGTAAATGGACAGGTGTTTGTAGTAGCACAAAAACACTCAGATCAACAGAACAGAATAGAGAGCCCAGAAATAAACCCACATCTAAACGGTCAATTAATCTATGATGAAGGAGGCAAGAATATACAATAAGGAAAAGACAGTCTCTTTAATAAATAGTGTTGGGAAAACTGGAGAGATACATGCAAAACAATGAAGCTAATTAACTTTCTTATACCATATACAAAAATAAATAAGAAATGGATTAAAGATTTAAATGTAAGATGCGAAACCATAAAACTCCTAGAAGTAAATATAGACAGTAAACTCTTATATCAGTCTTAGCAATATTATTTTGATATCTCTTCTTAGGCAAAGACCACAAAAGCAAAAATAAACAATGTTGACAGAGGCATACTCTGGCTCTCTTTTAAGGATAATTTCTAGAAGCCACAATAGAATACTTTATTTCTATCTCATCAACTAGAACTTAGTCATACATTCATTCCTAATTAGAAGTAGCTACTTATACGGTTAAAAATTCTTTAACTATGGTAGAATAGAAGAATGGATTTTGAGGGACAAATATCATAGGATTCACTCAGACTCTTTAGTCTGATGTTTAGTCCATACCTTTCTGTTTAGTCCTTTTTCCTATTACCACATGAGCCCCATACACCAGCCAAAAGTTGTCTTGTTACCCTTGATTAGAAATGATTTCCTCCTCTTCTAAATCTTATAGTACTTTTAATCTGTATTGAATTTTTTATGTGCTAAACTGTATTGCTGTCATATGTCTACATAGTCTACACATGTAGCTTCCTTAAGTTATATGGCCTCATCACAGTATAAAATCTTGGGGGTAGTGGCCATGTCTTATATGTCTGTAATGCCTAGCCTAGTACCTTGTAAATGATTGGTTCTCAATAAATATTTCTTGTATCAGTAAGATAAATAATCTTGATGATTTCTTGGTTTCTTATAGAATTTTAGGAAAGGAAGATGGATCAACCTAGTGGAAGGAGTTTTATGCAAGTATTATGTGAAAAATATAGTCCTGAAAACTTTCCTTACCGCCGTGGTCCTGGGATGGGAGTCCATGTCCCAGCCACACCTCAGGGCTCTCCTATGAAAGGTAAAAAAGATGGGACCTAAAACATTTGTTTACTGGACCTTACTTAGGGACATTAAACCAGATATTGCCTTGTTTGTAAATGATTTCCTTTATTTTGAATTATGAGTCAAATAGTCTTTCTCCCTTGCTATGATTTCAGTTCTTTGAAAAAACTGAAAGGACTTGTTTCCCTCCAGATTAGCCAAAAGGCATTTTAGTTGCACTCATAGGGCCAAAATAATATTTGAATGATAATTTTTCAAATACATGTTCTTTCAAGGAACTTGGAGGGTGCAAGATACAAGACTGGACTGTGCCCTCAATGACCTTACAGCCTAATTGGATTACAAGATACTCACATTTACAAAAATAACACGAGGCAGTTTATAGTGAGTCAAATGAATGGCACCGTGATTAGGACAGAAGTTTAAAAGAGAGTTAATTAATATGATCAGAAAAGAGTTCAAAGCTATGAGACCTTAACTAAGCCTTCAAGAATGTAGAATTTGGTCAGAGAGAAGATAAAGACATTCTAGGAAAGGGATTATGATGTGAGTAAGGATCTATAACTAGAAATGTGCAGATTGTATGTCTTTGCTTGCATTTTAGCTTGCTGTTGTAATTAATAGTTCTTGGAATTAGTTCTTTATAATTATGGGAGATTAATATTGAACAGTGTTTTAATTCCTATGTCCAAAGGTTACTGAGCATTTGTTTTCTCAATACAACTATCTTATCACTCCATATAAACTGGAATGGCAGACAGAAGTGGACTTCTTACTTGGTCATTTTTTTTTAGGATCTCTTCCCAGTCTGAGGAATTTGATACTGAGAAGTACTAAGCTGAAAAATCATACAATTTGAGGCCTCCGATAATAAAATATTACTTTTGTGAGTCCTTGTATGATTGCAAATAGGGAAAAATTGGTTGAATTCTCATGTTTATCCTTTTTATTAGAGATAGTATATGATTTTATTGACATGTAATTTTGAATTAGGCAATAGTTTGACTACCCCAGTTTGATCAAATTCATTGAATAGTTTGAGACTGAAACATTTTCTCTCGTTACAATTATATTTTTTTAAAAAGTCTAATTTTTTGTAAGAGACAAATTCTATATGGATATGAAATGAAAATGATTGATGGACAAGTATGAGAGAAATAGATGGAGATTTTTAAATGTATCCACTTAAGTGAGGAAGATTTCTTGAATGATATAAACTTAAAGAACAGAAGTGATTTAGCAGAGACTAATGGTTTGTGATAGTTTTCAAAGGCAATAAAAGTTGAAAATACACACAAGACAGAGAGAAAAGAGCAATCCAGAGTGATACTTTTAAACTAATTTTTTGTTTTTTTTTTAAAGAAAGAATCAAGGCCAATGAGAAGATAGTGGTAGTCCAGGCATGAATCACATAGATCTAGTAGCGTTCACATAACAAGATGATAGCACATTTGGCTAGATGATGGTAGTTGGTAGTTGGGATAAACAATCCTGCTGAGAGGTGAAGCTTATAGGACTTTTTTGGTGGTACTGGTTCAGTACTTCTCATCTCTTTCTGGTTCATTTTTGAACCAAACTCTTGCCCGGTTCATATTTGGCTGTCTCTGCTTAGAATTCAAAACCTTGGATCCCATCATGTCTTGTGTTTCCTTGGATCCCATCATGTCCTGTATTTCCTGGGTCTTTGTGTAATTTCACAAAATTTGATTTTGATTCCTGGGGTCAGAATGTGTGTAGACAAGAATTAGGCTGACATAGAAAGTGTTTTGTCCCCCATGCTTCAGATCGCCTCAACCTCCCAAGTGTTCTGGTATTGAACAGCTGTGGAATAACCTGTGCTGGAGATGAAAAAGAAATTGCTGCCTTCTGTGCTCATGTGTCGGAACTAGATCTTTCTGACAACAAACTCGAAGACTGGCATGAGGTAAAGTTTTTATATTGCTTCATTTTGGTGAAATATAGTCATAATCATTGTATTATTGTTTATGTTTTCTTATGAATTCTTGTTCTCATTTGAGATTCTTTTTGTCTCTGTCTAAAGATAAATAATTGACTGCTTCAGCTGTTCCTATGGTGATTTTTCAGTTAACTTTGTTATTTCTATTTTGCTTTTCATTAATGTGAAAAGCACTGGAGAACTTTATTTCAGGCATTAAGAGGTTAATAAGACTACAGAGGTTTAGACTGCTAATAAGGCATTAAATTGTCTACTATTTCACTAATTGAAACATTCTATGCTTATTCTATACTACTACTTCAGCATTTACCTACCTGATTATAGCATTACCTGATAGAAGATACCCTTCTATCCTAAGAAACTACCTTACGAATAAGAAAAAGTCATTTTTCCTACTTGATCTGTTCTCCTGCCTTAATTTAGGCTCTTATTTCTTGCTTAGACTATTGGAAAAGTTTGCTAATGTGTTTTCTGGCCTTCGTTTTATTCTGTTTCCTGTAAGCTATCTTCTGCAGTTCTACTAGACTTCTCTTAATAAATGAAATATGATTATGATACTCTCCTGTTCAAAGTCCTTTAGTTGCTTTTCACTGCTTAAAAACTAAGGTCCAAACTCTAAATGTGGCCCTCAGTCATATGGCCCTTTGCTATTTCTAGAGCTTTATCTCCATCTTTAGCTGAATGCTTTTGCTTGAAGCTCATGATAAACTTTTGACATGAAAAGTGTCCTTGTTTTATTCATTCTGAATCTGTTGCTCTCTTTTCTCCTCTTGTCTACTAAGCCTCTTCCTATGTCTTTTTCAAGAAGACTTGGACCGAGTTGCTATTCCTCTGTGAAACTTTCCCTGGCTCTCACTCGGGCAGAGTCAGATTATCCCAGCACCTGTATTATGCTGCTGTGAAAGGATTTATCACCATGCCGTGCAATCACTTGCTTTACTTGATAGTTTTCCTACTAGACTGAGCTTATTCAAAGTAGAGATTTTTATCTTTTTTTTTTTAAATCAGCACCCATCATACTAGGCGCTTAAAAGTTTGTTGATTGCATTAGTGAATAAATGATTGTATCTTAAGGATTGATCAAGACCACTTGCTGTAACTTTTTCTGTGATCTTAAGAAATTCACTTAATTTTTTAGTCCTTCAGTTTGCTTATCCATAAGATAAGGCTGCTGATAAAATAAATCATTGAGGCACGTTGTAGATGTTAAATGCTATACAAATTCTAAGACAGCTTTCTATAACCTAGTTTTCTAAAGCTTTCATTATATTTATTTGTTTCATTGTCATGTTTAATCTGATAACTGTGCTGCTCTCACTTATAGTTCCTCTTTTTGTTAAGATGTTTACTAGAATTCTTTGAGATCCATGTCACTTGATTTCTAAGTGACTTGTTAATATATAAAGATTTATTGGGCTGTTCCAAGAAACAATCTCCATTTGTACATGTACAATTTATTGATTTACTTATCTAAACAACTAGTGTAGTTCTCTATTCAACAAATTACCATCTGTGCCTCTGTCCTCTGAGATGCTTAATTGGCATGCATGCTGTGTCCACACTGCACAGATGCAAAAAGAATTACCTCAGTAATCCTCTTTCTCCACCATTCCCACAGTGGTCCTACTGCTGAAAAAAAAAAGAACCTCTGGTGAGACTTTTTGGCCTACATGGGTGACAAGTTAGACCCAATCTTCCTCTGAATCATTCCAGCTCCTATGTTCCCAGGCTGATTTCCCTAAATTATTTTTCTTTGGGAGTATAAAATTTCACGGAAGTGTTGTGCTTTGTACTTTGACCTATGCTTTGACCAAGTACATAAGCTTTTACTAACTTGTGGGAACAGTTTAATAGTGATATAGTTGCTACCTCAGAAGAACTATTTATGTCAGTATGGATCAGAACACAGTTTACGCTAGATAATTCCACGTTTTCTCTGCTTAGACAAAGGTCTACACTAAATATTTTTCAGGCTGCACTGACATGTATAGACAGAGGGTCACATGTTTATTTGTACTCTGCTCAGTCTGTATATTCATTCCTGTATGTGCCCTACAGTCTATTTTTGGGCAGTTTTCAAATAAACATTTGTTACTGCTACCCTTCAGGTTTCCACTTTTCAGTATTTTTGTTTGTTTGTTTTCATCATTCCTTTATATTTTGTCATTAGCCTTAATTGTAGTTGATCCCAGTCTTCTAGAATATATGTCAAACCACAGAGATATGGGAGAAATGCTGACAGCAAAAAAATATTGATTTTTAAGATTGATTAAACTCTTTGCCAGGCTACAAATGCCTCATAGGTAACAGTTTTAAGACATTACATTTCAACCCCATTGCATCCTATATATCTGATTACCAAAAAGATCATTTGTCCCAGGACATTAACTAAGTTTATTCAGCCAGTATTTAATATAGCAATGTGGAACAAGATAATATTGTTTGTTATTTTAGTGTTTTGAATGATCAGTAATGCTATGAGAAACTTCTTTTGTAATTTAAACTGCTGGCTGCTGTATATCCAGAGACTAAGATAAATATGAGCAAGAAGTGTAATACTTTTGGGAAAACAAAGATTTATCTCCATTCTTCTAGTATTGAGCATCTATGTGTTAAAAAGAAGATGCATTTTTTTTTAGCTTTTGATTTGAATTTTTGGCTAAGTGGATTTTTGTCTGACCTTTCCCAAGATATCTCCTTTTTCCTCCCTTTCTTATCAAAACCATTTTATAAAAGAAATTAAACCAAGTAGTTGAATTAGCTACTCAGGTGAGGTAGAGAAGAGAATAGTTTGGGTATAAATTACAGATTGTTGTCATACAATGCTTTTCCCATTTTTTAAAACTGCAGTTTCTTCCTCTTCAGAAGCCAGGGAGCCCCTTATTAAGTCATAGAATTGTTGAGACTTAAAAGATCTGTTTTTCTCCATATTTCTGTACATGAGTATAGTCAACTCATTCCATCTAGAGGAGTCTTTTTTTTATTTTTCAAATTAAAAAAGAGAAATCAATACGCTGCCCTAGAAACTCATTGAATATTTTGTCAGTCTTTATTAGGACATTTTTCTGTGATAAGTAAATTTAACTATGTAACGAATATTACATTTTTCAAAATCTTATTAAATTATTACCCCCAAATACTTTATAATTTTAGTCTTATAAAGAAAATATTTATTTCTATCGTATTATTTTTCCAGCTTGAATCATTAGACTATAGTCCAATTTTGTCTTTTTAGGATATCCTAGAGCTAATGAGTCATTATTCTAAATCTTTATTCTCATTGGACAGTAGTGTAGGTGCGGACTATGAAAAAGATTACATCAGTATCTGTTAGCCTTGGGTATCCTCCCAGAAACTGCTTCAGAAACTCTTAAATTATAAATTTTTGAGTATTTTCTTCTTTTACAAAAATAAAATATGAAGGGTGGTGGTTAGCAAGGGTTTATGTTTTCTGTTATTTAACTGGGGGATATACTATAATAGCAGTTATTCTTCATGCTGTAGTTAAAGCACAATTCTTCTTCATCTTTTTTTGCCCTTAAAAGAGATAAGCATAGCTGATCATCATCTTCTGTATGAAAGTACTTTATATCATTAGCAGTCAGGTGGTAGAATGAAGTAGAGGACTGGTCCCTACATGGATTATTTAGTTGTGTTGTGGCCACAAACTAAACTCCAAATCCTAGCCGTATGGCTCACAAATGCTTAGTCACAAAAGGGATGAAGCAGGAGAATATGCACACACTGGTATAAATTCCTTACATTTTAAACTGAAGCCTAGTGTATTTTCTCTAAAAGAGAGCTCTTTCTTCATTCGTAAAATGAGAATTAAAAATATACCACTTAAAAGAGTTAGTGTGTAGAATAGATGAAATAGTGCATGTGAAGACCATTCCTTTTGACATACTTCTCTGAACCTTATTAGAATTAATCTACTTCTCACTGATTTCAGAGCTCCTGAACTGTACAGCACACAGTAAGTCTGATGTAAAATACAGATTAATTTTTTTTTTCTATCCATAGTTCTCAACACTGGACACATTTTTGACATTACTTATGGAGTTCTGAAAAGAAACAGGCATTCAAGTCTCAATCATGAAGCTTGTCCCACCTATGAAGCTTCTGATTCAATAGTTTAGGACAGAGCCTGGGAATCAGTATATTTTGAAATTCTACCAATGATTTTCTATATGATATATTTAAATATAAATAAATATAACACGACAAATATAGTCAGGGTTGAGCTATTGGTTTATATTACTTATATTAGTAATAGTTACATTTATTGAATGATTTTATGCCATTAATTTATTCAGCAAACATTAAGTACCAGCAATGCAATAGTAAACTAGGTAAGTATTATCCCTGCTTTCATAGATTTTTATATTCGATTGGAGAGTAGATAAGGAAACAAGTTTCTAAAAGATGTACCAATCACCATGGTAAGTGCTTTACATGTGTATCTCATTTAATCCTACCAACAGTCCTGTAAAACAGGTAGATAGTATTTTCTCTATGTTACAAATGAGAAAACTGATATTTGGAAAGGTTAAGAAATTTGTCGAGTCACACAGCTAGGAAGTGTTGGAACCTGGTTTGAATCCAGGTTTTCTGACTAATGCTAAATATTCTATTGTACTCCTTTTCTTATAACTTTTAGTTACCACATTGCTTGGCTGTTAGATGCTTAATACATTCACTATGCTTCTAGCATTTATTTCATACTACTTTAAGCCTAGTTCTTTATTTTTTTCTGGTTATATTTATAATTTACTAGTTGTGAAATAGTAGTTCCCCCTTTTCCATGGAGGATAAATTTCAAGACCCTCATTGGATGCCTGAAACCACTGATGGTACCAAACGCTATATATACAATATGTTTTTTCCTGTACATACATATGCTTATGACTTCTCTTTGGCATAACTGAATTGCCAGCATCACTACTCTTGTGCTTTGGCACCATTATTAAGTAAAAAAAGGATTACTTGAACACAAGCATTATGATGATACTGCAACAGTCAATCTGATAACCAAGACAACTGCCAAAGTGACTAATAGGTGGAGGTGGGTGGTATACACAGCCTGGATATGCTGGAGAAAAAGACAGTTCATGTCCCAAGTGTGAAGGAGCAAGACAGCACAAGATTTCTCACAGTACTCACAATGTGCGCATTTTAAAACTTATGACATATTTATTTCTGGAATTTAATATTTAATATTTTCAGACCATGACTGACTGAGAATAACTGAAACCATAGAAAGCAAAATTATGGATAAAGGGGGGCTACTTTATATTGGAAAAACAATAGCTCTGATGTTTAAATTCTAGATTTGGCTTTTGTGATTCTGAGACCTTGGTCAAATTATTTAATATCTGAGTCTCAGTTTCTTTATTTATTAAAATGATAACTTTATTAGTCATCTTGCAAGTTGTTTTGAGAATGTAGTGAAATAAGCTATATCAGAGACTAGTACTATGCAGAGCAAATAATTAAGATCAGTAGTGATCAGTTCCTTTTCTAAAAATTTTTTTGTGTACCAATTTGCTAGCCAAATCATTAAATTGATGATCATGTTTTCTCTTTCATTATATAAAGTCAATATATTTTAAAGTTTAGTACATCTTTGAACCAAGCTGAAACTGTTTTCTAAGTAATTGTGACTATGGAGTCAAATTTGAACACCTGAATCATTATTTTGTGTTCTTCAATAAACCTTTAATTGACCTTAATGTTGTACTGTGGATGGAAAGAAGGACATATTCAAAGAGATTACATAGCCTAAAATGTTATCTAAACTATCTTTTCTCCATTTATCAAAGAGAACATCATATAGAACAGAATAAAACCTTGCCAAAGGCAATATAGGAAATTTTTCTTTTGTGTCATTAGTTTTCAGTTATTTTCAAGATTAAGTTATTTGCCAAGATTTGTTGAAATTATTTATGCCTCTCTGTGGGTACAGTCACTAATAGGACTCCATCCTGTGAATGTCCCTTTGCCTGGAGATCCATTCAGTTAGGCTTTTTTGAGCATGATTGTTATTTAAAAGCCTGATATGCTTTTCTTTTTTTCTTCCTAGGTCAGTAAAATTGTGTCAAATGTTCCCCAGCTGGAGTTTCTAAACCTGAGTTCCAACCCTCTGAATTTGTCAGTTTTAGAAAGAACATGTGCTGGGTCCTTCTCTGGGGTTCGCAAACTTGTCCTCAACAACAGCAAAGCTTCTTGGGAGACAGTCCACACGATACTGCAGGAGTTACCAGAGTAAGCCCAGACAGCATGTTGGAGAGGGGGCTATGTTGCCATCTGTGTTAGTACATAGAATTACTGCTGATCTCCCATCTCAGAAATACTAGAATTACAGATTGAATGGAGAATGAGGTTAGAAAAATGAAGTAATTACAGTGAAAGTGTGAGGATAATCTAGTAGCATTTTTATTGGAATACTTGTTCAGTGTTGAGTAACACCAAGATATAGGATACATAATCCTTTGGCTAGAAAATATCCCTGAGAAGCACTTATTATTTCTAGATCAGCCCAAACTTTCTCCATTTTAATCTTCTGATTACCTGATTTCAGAATTTTGCCTCGGTACACTTCTTTGGGAAGAAAAAAAGTTGTAGTATCTTTTAAATATATTAACACTCAGATGATTAAGTACGTAGCTAGCCTGATTTGAAAATGGACCTGGTATCCTTTTCCATAATTTAAGCAAGAAATTATACTTTTATTAGTTTAGAAATGCTATGTTTGTATCTATCTTTGAATATGCATATAAGTGTTCAAAGGAAGTAGTTTAAAGAAATATATGAAGTTGTAGTTTCTTCGACTGTGTAAATATGGAAATTATCGAAGCATTTTAGAATCTGGTCTAACCCCACTTATTTTCTCTTAGTTTCTCATAATCACTCTAATTAAAATTGGTTTTCTCACAGTATGCAATATCTAGCATGGCATAAAATGAGCTTCTAAATCCCAGTTCTACTTACTAATCATATGACCTTTGACAGGCTAATTGACTTCTTTGAGCTCTGTTTCCTTGTCTGTAAAATGGGCATAATTATATCTACCTTGCAGAAATAGAAGTACAGTCGAAAGCACCTGGCACAGGGCCTGTCATAGGGTAGTTATTATTTCTATTTGTCAACATTTGTTTATCTTGTTTCTGGAATTTTCTTTCATCTCCTCATAACTTATACAAGTCTGCCCCTCCTTCAAGGCCTTGCCTCCCTTCCTGATTATTCTAACTACAAATTCAATTCCATTCCCTTTGTGCAACTATCGTACTTAAAATTAGACCTGCTTAATTATTGCTTAATTGTACTTAAAATTAGTCCTGCACAATATTAATTTAGTACTGGGTTATATGTCATTCTTTCCTGTTTTATGCATTTTAGAATTTGTTTTCTTTCTCAGTTGTATTTTAAGCTTTAGGAAGACATCTTTATATTTTCTTTACAACACCTAGCAGAGTCTCACACACAGTAGGCACTTATTTATTTCTTAAGTGAATGAAAATAGGTGCAAAGTAGACACTTAACTGCTATAAAGAATGAAATATTTCCTTTTTTCTTCTGCAGTTTGGAGGAGCTCTTCCTGTGCCTTAATGACTATGAAACAGTGTCTTGTCCTTCTATATGCTGTCATTCTCTTAAACTACTACATATAACAGATAATAACCTCCAAGACTGGACTGAAATACGAAAGTTAGGAGTTATGTTTCCTTCTCTGGATACCCTCGTCCTGGCCAACAATCATTTGAATGCTATCAAGGAGCCTGATGATTCATTGGCCAGGTTGTTTCCTAATCTGCGATCCATCAGCCTCCACAAGTCAGGTAAGATGCTGGCTTGTTCTGATTCTACATGCAAATTGATCTGAGTTTATGCATAAAATACAGTGAAAGTGTATTTCTTTTAGTGACAGTTCTGCCTTCTTCTAATGTGCATTTTTAAGAGCAGCATCCAGATGATTATTGGTTAGCTAAAGTTAAGGCATTCACTTTCATAAATCAAGTGGCATAGCATTATATTAGCTATTTATGTTGTATAAATTAAAGAGGTCATCCTATGAAAGGAGTAAAATTAATGAACTATACAATAAAAGATGGAGTAAAAAGGATATAAGGAATTATGAACAAGACCATTTTGTCTGGATTTAGGTTAGGGAAATCCAACCTGCTATGCCTTTCAAATGTTCACTTTTCTTTTCTAGTATTTATATATAATTGATTGCCATTTTGTTGCCATCTAATTCTTTATGTCACAGAAACGAATATTTTTAGTCTGTTTTTAAAAAATTAATAATCTTTTTTTAGAGTAGTTTTAGATTCATAGCAACATTGAGCAGAAAGTACAGAAAGTTCCTGAATGTTTACCACCCTCACACATACGCAGCCTCCCCAACTATCGACAGCTTAGCACCAACATCCCATTCATAGCAAAATTGAGCAGAAAATATAGAAGATTCCCAAATACTTACTACACTCACACATACACAGCTTCTCCCACTATCAACATCCCAGCATGATTTGCACAATCAAACTTACCTCTAGACACATCATCATCACTCAAAATCCATAGCTTACATTAGGGTTCATTCGTGGTGGTGTACATTTTATGGAATTGAAAATTTATAATGACATGTATCTACCATTGTAGTATTATAGTAATAGTTTCATTGTTCTAACAATTCTCTGTGCTCCACTTATTCATCCCTTCCTTCCCTCCCCAGTCCCTGGCAATCACTGATCTTTTTACTGTGTCCATAGTTTTGCCTTTTTCAGAATGTCATGTAGTTAGAATTATACAGTACATAGCCTTTTCAGATTGGTTTCCTTCACATAATAATATGCATGTACATTTCCTCCATGTCTTTTCATGGCTTGATAGCTTATTTCTTTTTAGCACTGAATAATATTCCATTGTCTGGATGTTCCTCAGTTTGTTTGTCCACTCACAAATTGAAGTACATCCTGGTCGTTTCCACATTTTGGCAAAATTATTAATAAAGCTGCTGTAAATCTCTGTTTGCAGGTTTTTGGGTAGACATAAATTTTTAATTCATTTGGTAAAACACCAAGGAGTGTGATTTCTAGATCATATGGTAAGAGTATGCTTGGTTTTGTCGGACACTGACAAACTGTCTTCCAAAATGGCTGTACCATTTTGCATTGCCACCAGCAATCAGAGTTCTTGTTGCTTCACATTGTTGTCAGCATTTGGTGGTGTCGATGTTTTAGATTTTGGCCATTCTAATAGGTGTGTAGTGGTATCTCATTGTTCTTTTGATTTGTAGTTCTTTTGATTCATATTCAACATCTGATGTTGAATATCTTTTCATATGCTTTACTCGCCGTCTGCATATCTTTGGTGAGATGTCTGTTCAAGTCTTTTGACCATTTTTAATTGGATTGTTCATTTTCTTATTGTGACATTTTAATAGTTCTTTGTAAATTTTGGATAATAATTCTTTATCAGATGTGTCTTTAGCACATATGGTCTCCCAGCCTGTGTCTTTTATTTATATTTTCTTGACATTGTCTTTCAGCCTATTTCTTAAAACAACTATATAACTGAAATAACCTATATCTGAAAAAAAACATAAACAGTTTAACTTGCTATAGAGGTTGTAAGGGGAGGAATTAAGTTTTAAAAACTAGTATTTTGCATAAGGAAGCTGCTTATTTCATAGCTCGATACCCCTTGAGCTAACTCTGTTCTTCCTCCTAGATGGACATGCCATTCTGAAGGGAAGAGGATGGTTGTAACTTGAGATAGTTATGCACCAGAGTCCTCATAAATTGCTCTTCTGCCTTTACTTTCTGAAGGTTGATAGAAATAGGAAGGGACTAAGTTGTTCTCTAAAATGGATTTGACATGTTGTAAAATTGACCAACTTCATTATTATAGGAATATTTTTCCTACCAGGGACAAGTATTGACTTGGATGATACATTTGTTAGGAAGAGTTTTTTTAGAATTAAATGAACTTAATTTGTTGCATGTTCTTCTTACCCAAACAAAGGTTCAGGTTTTTTTGTTTTTGTGTTTGTTTTAATTTTGAATCTGTTTTCCCTGTTCCCAAAATGAGGACAGTATGAATGAGGGATAATATTAAGTTTCTGGTCCTATTGACCTTGCCCCGCTTTCAAATTTGTTAGGTAAAAATTCAAGTCTGATAGTATCAACTCTGATTAATAGTTGTATTCTATGAATCTATATTTGGTGAAGGAGTTGATTGCATCGCCTTTTATGTAAGCATGAAGTACATCCTGTTTGTTGAAACCACCAGTGACTCCCTTTATAAACCATTTGGGTAGAGAATTAGTAGGTAAGTGGTTGTTGGAGGATACAGGTCTCTCTTCTTGACTACAGAAGTCGTAAGAATAGGAGGCTATAGGGAAGGTTTTATGGTATTTAACTGTATTCTATTCTCTCCTTGGATTAAAAAAAAAAAAATTCAGGATCTCTAACTAGTTTATGATCATTTTAACATTTCAAATATTCTTAATTGAAGTATTTTTTTTGCTATGTTTATCTTCTTATGTGGGTGCTTTTCTGGATTTACTTAATGTCTATTTCTCAAATCAGGTTTGCAATCCTGGGAAGACATTGACAAACTAAATTCCTTCCCCAAACTTGAAGAAGTGAGATTGTTAGGAATTCCTCTTCTACAGCCATATACCACCGAGGAGCGAAGGAAATTGGTAATAGCCAGGTCTGCTGTCCTGATTATTCTGCTTTTTTTCCCCCCTCAGAGGCCTTGCTATTTTATTAAAGGAATAATGTACTATTTAGGAGAAAGTACACTGTAAATTGATCTGTTTCTCGAACAGACTGTATTTGAAGGAGCTGCTTTTATAGCTTCAAATCCTAGAAGGAAAGGAATGCAATATGATGAGAAAAATATGAAATGTAATTGCCCTGCCAAGACCACTGAAAAATTTCCTCACAAATCTATTATTATAATTTTTGATATTTATAATATTTAAAGTTCTATTTTGGGTCATGAAGAAAAAGTAAGTATAATAGGGAATCAATTCTATTTTAGTTGTCCTTATTTTCTCTGTTAACATAGTGGTCATTTAAAGTGAAATACCTGAAAACCAGGCTGTTTCATTAATGTAAAACAAGAGAGCAGCTTCTGTATTTTATTCTCGTTACACAGATTGACTTAGATCTGACTACTGTATTGTTATCATCTTCCTCTAACTTCCCCGCCTTTCGCATCTCAGGCCCCACAGATTACTGAAATGACCCATGAGTGTTTATTTTTGTATGTACCTTTAGCAGCAGTAATATTCGGCTCAGATGTAAAGGGACATGGAACTTTGATTTGTTCTCTTGTACACTAACATAGTTGTTTTGAAAGGGGAACAGTAAGCATTAAAGTTCCCTAGAGAAGAGCTGTTAGTTAAACAAGGTATTGATCTTTCTGACCAACCAATGCCTAGCAGATTTTTACTGCTTTCCAGTGGTTGATATACCCATTAATATTTCACTGAAAAAATAAGTTTCAGCATATTTTTCTTCTAAGAAGTCTTGCAGTAGGCCTTGTATTTAATTTTCTTTACTATTCCTTCATAAATATAATAAGTTAATTCTTGAAGTACATAACCAGATTGTATTGATTATTCTATAGACTTATGCTGTCCAATATGGTACCCATTAGCCATGTGTGACTTTTTAAGACTTGAAATATAACTAGTTTGAATTCAGGTATAAAATATACATTGGATTTTGAACGCTTTATATGAAAAAGAGAATGTAAAGTATTTCATTAGTTGTTTTTTAGTATTGATTACAGGTTGAAATGATTATACCTGTATTTATTGGGTTAAATAAAATATGTTATTAAAATTAATTACATATGTTTTATTTTTTTAAAATATGGCTACTAGAGAATTTAAAATTACGTATGTGGCTTACATTATATTTAGGTTGGCTAATGCTGCTTACAATCGTATTTTGAAAAGTGAGTTATGATTATAAAAGGTCAGCGTCACATTAAAAAATGAAACTAGGTATTTTTGGTCTTTTTGTTTCTTATACCACTTTAGTTTATGTCAGTAGTTGTATAGAAGCAGAGCTATATCAAATGTGTTCTTTCAAGAGAATGAGACTGGGCCTCAAACCAGTAATTTTATTTCTAAAGCTGAATATTTTTAGTATATTAAAATGTCTTTATTTTGGGTTTCACTTACAGATTGCCATCAGTTTCCAAACTTAATGGCAGTGTTGTTACTGATGGTGAGCGAGAAGATTCGGAGAGATTTTTCATTCGTTACTATGTGGATGTTCCACAGGAAGAAGTGCCATTCAGGTAAAAATCTCTCATCAGTTTAGCAACACTTTAGCAAGTATTGAGGCAATATAAGAACTGTTGTTGTAGAACAAAATCTAATAATTTGTTATTTGACTCTCTTAGAGGATATTGATGATAAGTTAAAAAATAAAGAAACACAAAAGCAAACCTATCATATCTCATTTTCACAGTGTATTTCTTCTACCCTTGCACTTGTATAAGAATGGTTGGCTAAGTACTTGACTGCTTCTAATAGTTCCTATTCCATACTCCATTATCATCGATTCCTTTTTAATCCTCTTCTCCATATTTTCCCCAAACCCTAAAACGTCTCTTCTTTCACATTGCATCAGCTTTTAGGATATTCTAAGTTTTACGGTTTGGTAAGTTTGGCAAATGTGCACTAACTAGGTTTAGGGATATGAGAAAATGACTGGAAAAAGAGTCCAGGAAATATTAAAGGATTTTAAGATGGTTGAGTATAGAGAAATACTGAGGGCTAAATTAGTAATTACCTTTAGGTATATGAAGAGTAAATATATATATTATGTGGTTAGGAACTATCTTTAATACTCTTAAATATAAAAGGAAGTATAACCATTGTGATATAGGTAAATATAAAAGAAAAAATCCCCAAACACGTTTCTAGATGTTAATAACTATAATCAGTTATCCAAAAGTTATATGCTTTCTTTAATGACTTTAAGAATAATATGAAATATCATTTAACAGGAGGAGTTTCAAACAAACAGGATGCAAGTTAAGACTGAGCAGGAATCAAATCAGTTGGTCCTTCGGGTTACAAATTTCTAATTCATTCTTTCTGAGCATATCTATATTTCCCCAAAGTTTTCTATTATTTACAGACTTTAAGGCATTCTGATTGGCTTAACCAGTGCTATTTAAAAAAGATTTTGTGGTATTGTTAGTAGAATTTGAAAGCCTAAGCATTTAAAAAATATTAGACAAATTAAGTAAGGATTTAGAAAATAGCCTTTTAAAATTAGCTAAGAGCAGCGAGGTAGAGAGAAATAGATATTACTGTTTTTAACACAAATATTAGTTTAAACTGCATGAAGATTTTTTAATGTAAAAAAATGGTTTTTTAATGTAAAAAAATGATTTTTTTAATGTAAAAAAAATGGTTGTTAGCTTCATTTGAGTCAGTCTAACATATTAATAAAAGAAGTAAATATTTAGCTTTATGCCAGAGTCTTTCATTACAGTTTACTTAACTTCCAGTCAATTGCAAGTAGTATATATATGGATGGTGAATTGTTTTCTGTCTGGCAATTAACACCTACTTTCTCACTCACTACTGGTTAGATACCACTGCTTGGTCTCTTCCTTCCTTCTTGAAATTGAAATGGGCAACCTGATTTCAGTGTCTCCTACCAGCATCCATGGCCTATAAAATGTTTTTCAAAGATGTGAGTGCTCTACTCACAAATGTATTTTTCAAGGCCTTGCAGAAGGAAATGTCTTCTGGGTCCTCTTAGTGTTCATAGATGGAGAATGGATGAAAGAGTAACATAGGTGACGATAATTTCCAGCATTCCTGTGTTCTGAAGTTTTTGAATTCTTCCTTACACATTATCCCAAACAATTTGTGGCATCTCAATTTCTTTTAGCATAGACCACCATTGAGTCCAATTTCCAATCAGCCAACTAGATAAAAATTTAGAACTAATCTAAGTGGTTCTAAACCATCGAAGCTAGCTTTTTGAATCTCTGTTAATGTACCTATATCAACAAAGTCAGCTAGATCTGAAATTGCTTTTCCTTCCTTGGTCAGTATATTCTGAATCTATTACTACACTTATTTCCTATATCTTTGTATATATAAATGACCAAAGTTTTGTAATTCTTATGGTGTTTTTGTTATTAAACCCTCAGAACATGCTGTGATCTGATGGTAGAAAAGCAGAGTATATATGTGGAAGGATGAGGCAAATGGGGAATTAGTTTACTCTTGCAAGGTAATTCCCTCAAGAAGATGGATTTTACTGCCTTTTTAAGCAAGAGAAACAGTCTCATTAGACCCAACTAGCAAGGGGAACCTAAGTGAGGATGAGGGAATTCAGGATACTCCCAAGTACTTCCGTACACTTCCATTCCAATTCATTCTCATTCTCTCTCTCTCTCTCTCTCTCTCTCTCTCTCTCTCTCTCTCATATCAGTGCTCCAGTTTTCATAAAATATTCCCAATATGGATACAGATTTAACTGACCTATAATTCGACAGCCTGGAACATCAAAACTTGTACTTTTTTTTTTTTAAATAGCTACCTCAGTTCTGTTGCTGTAAGAGAGAAAAGATTGTTTTCTTTAAAGTACCTGGGTTTCAGTCTGTGCCTTAAGCCTAATTTATAGGAATGTGACCCTACTATTCTCTTTATTTAAGCTACTTATACCCTTAGAATAGCAGATGCTCTACTTCATGGTCTTGAATTCTCCATGCCGTTATATTGTTTTATTATTGGTAGCACTCTCTTAATTACCTAAAGCATTCCATGTGACCCCAAGTGATAATTAATTATTTTACTACTTCATGTTAAAGATTTGCAGAATCCTTTCCATGAACACTGATAATATGTTCAGTGGCCCCTACTAGGCCAGAAACCAATCCCAAATTGCCTTTAATTACCTGAGATACTATTGCCGGTAATTTGCTCCCTGGTACTAATTTCTTACTGTACACAACAGAAATCAACTGGCCAAATTCGGTAGGATAGGAACTTATTAAAAGGATAATGAATCACTGAATCGACAAAAAGACTAGAGAATTAGGCTTGTGTAGTATTGGTGAGAAGCAAGGCACAGCCAAGATTTCTGTATCTTATTATACAACAGTATGCTTCTTACACTGGGCGCTGGACCATCATGAGTAAGCTGCTGGACTTCATTGCCATTAGACATTTACAGCTGCGCCTTTGAACCTTGACTCTTATCAATCTGTTGTGAATAATTTCTCTTAAAACATGAATCTTTGCATTACTCTTAAGGTGTAAAATTCCAACTACGTTAGACAGATTTATGTCACCTTTCCATGTTCTAGCTTTCAAGGAATGGAGAAAAAGAAAATCTACTCCCATTTAGGCTTCTAGTTCCTGCCTCTCATCTATCTTGGGTTCGTCTCAAATCAGAGAAGCATTCAGATGCTGAAGAGCCAAAGTCAGCCTATATCTCCTGTTCCCTAGTGATTTTTCTAGCGGTGGAATTATTCATTTACTCAGAAAATATTTTTTGAACCATTATGATGTGCCAGGAACTGTTAGGCACTTAAAAAAGAACATGATGAATAAGTGCAGAGAAATTTGTATTAAAATGTGTTCATTTAGCTTAGTATGATAATCTCAAGATCCATGTTGTCGCAAATGGTAGTATTTCATCTTTTCTTATGGATGAGTAATATTCCATTGTATATATGTAATATGTGGGATATAAATCTGAAAGCAACAAATGAGCAAGACAAACAAACAGAAACTCATGGACGTGGACAACAGTTTAGTGGTCACCAGAGGGAATAGGGGGGAGAGGGGAGGAGGTAGATTAGAGTAAAGGGATCAAATATATGGCAATGGAAGGAAATTTAACTTTGGGTGCTGAACACACAATGCAGTATACAGATGCTGTATTTTAGAATTGTACACTCAAAACCTATATAATTTTATTAACTAATATCACCCCAATAAATTAAAAAATGCATTCATTATGAATTAAGAATAGTGATATAGAAACAGAATGTTAGTCCTATAGTTACCACATCTTTATCTTTCAAGTTACGTGCATATTCTCTCCCTAAAATACTAATGAATAGTGAATAACACAGTGCATAGTTAGTAAAAGGTGAAAATTTGACTCGATAATTCAGCATTTCATATAGAATGACATTTGAACTTTTGTTTCTAAGTTGGATGGAGATATCTATTTATTTTAGAGAAAACATTCCTTTTCATTTGACCATGGGATTTTTTTTTTTTTTTAAATCAGGGTTTAACTTGGAAGTTGTAACTTCTACAACATCTTTCCCCTAGTTGTTAGGTCCTGTGAGCTTTTCCACCTCCTTTCATTTTCCTGTCTTATGTCATTAAACATGAAATACCTTTACTCAATTTAGACATAAGTAAGAAAAATTAGCAAAAATATCTTTTGAAGAGATGAATAAAAAACCATTATGATCAGTTGAATGTCCTTTATGGTAGCAAAGTTATTTTGTGAATCAGTTAGATTATTCACACACATCTGTTTCCATGTGATTAGTCACTTTGGCAACAGAAGACTTTAAAGATGATCCAAAATTTACATATCTTGTTTTCCTAGCAGAATAAAGTATAGGCTCCAGTAGAATACCTACTATTACCTGAATCATTTAAATTTTTTATGATGAACAGAATAAAATGTTTAGAGGACCAAAGGGAGGCATATTTATTAAGAGTTTTATAATTTCTTACAAGATGCTCAATTATCCTTCTTATTGCCTTCTACTGATAGGTGGAACTGGAATTTTAACCTCTCTACTGTGACTGTTTATGGCAATAATAGACCAACAAAAACCTGAGCAATCACCAAGATGTTTCATATTTATTTACTTTGTGAAACAATAGAAGATGAATAATCTCCATTTTTTTATTCTTGGCCTTTAAACATCATAGTGTTGCTTTTTCTAATGAATAGATTTTCTTTTAAAGCTTCATTTGTGTCTTGTCTCTTCATGGCTTGTGTATCAGTGGTGCACCATTTCAAAAAGTTCAGTCTGTAAGGCAGGTGGTTGAAAAATTGTCTTCACTGGGCTCATTGTATTTCAATTATTGGACTCACATTCTACCAGTAGAACATCTAGAAAATAACTAGAGATTCTAGCTGGGTTTAAAGGACACTTTGATTTATTTACTGAATACCTACTATAAACCACGAGGCACTGTGACAGAAGCTAGATATAAAAAGACCAAAAAAAAGCGTCTCCTCTCAAGAAGCTTGCCATCTGGGCTAAGCTAGAGATATATTTCCTTTGCTGGA